CAAACTTGAGGCAGGGAATTGTTTACATTGCATCTAATGAATCTCATTACTGACTTCTGATGCTCGGGCCATGGCCCGTCTAGGCCCGGGCCCAGATCCGCCACTGATTATATATGGGGCGCCGTGTGTAAATCAAAGTTGTGGCAGCTGAGCATGAGCGAGCGGCGTGAACCCGAGCGGCGTTCGCTTTTCTGCGCATGCGCAGTACCATTTTAACCTACACGCCTTTTCACATTTACTACAAGCCTACAGTAATGGATGCTCAAACTTGGCAGGCATTTTTTATAAAGCTGTCTAAATTCTTGCTAGAATACGAAAGAAACCAACAGACACAGACAGATATTGATAGAGTTTCTTCTAACAAAGATTCAGCGAAACACTATCGAACAACTTTAACAGAAATTTGTGATTTAGTATCTAATACTCTTCCTGAGGTCGAGTTAAGAGATGATGAACTGTACATAGTGAGGGATATGATGTCTAACTTGGAAACATTGAGGTTAAAGCTGAGTGATATTATTAAAGAAGGCGTTGATAGAGAAGAATTGCTACTTAGAAATTGTGGCGGTACTGTCAAGTCGTTGGATTTTAATCTTGACCAGATGTGTTTTTTGAGGAGCATTAGGCTATCTTGGACAAAAATCTCTACCATTTTTGGGATATCAAGAATGACATTATACCTAAAAAGAAGAGATGCAGGAATTGTCGATGATTTTAAGTATTCGAATATTTCAGATAGTGATTTGGAGAAGAAGATAAAAGAAATTAAAATGCACATGCCTGATATTGGAGAGACAATGATCACAGGAGTGCTACGTTCCAATGGTGTTTATGTTCAGCGTCGGAGAATAAGAAAAGCCATCCATTCCATCGATCCAATTAAGACAGCGTTACGTTGGCATGAGAAAGTGAGACGTCGAATATACAGTGTTCCTGGACCTATGTCTTTATGGCACATAGGTAAGATTATTATTATCATTATTAATTTTTTTTTTAACATTATTGTAACCATTATTATTATTATTATTATTATTATTATTAAGTAAAACAGACATTTAGATGTAGAGAGATACAATTGTGAACTAAAAAATAAATGTGGACTAAAACTAGTATTAACACTTAGATTTGGACAGATACATGTATATTTGCATGCATGTAAAATAGTAATAGTGGCATTATTATTATTATTATTAATAAAAATGACAGAAATAGAAGTTACATGTAATGAAATAAGGGAGAAGGTGTAGAATGTGAGGTTGACTTGGTTGTGGTTTTAATTATAAATTTAACTATGATAATTACATGTATGTAGTGTATTATTCCATCATAATTGTTGGGAAAAGTTACTATTATTGTTAACTACTTTACAGATGGGAACCATAAGCTCATTCGATGGTGTATAGTCATACATGGTGGAATTGACGGATATTCCAGATTGGTCGTCTTTCTAAAGGCATCTACTAACAATAGGTCAAGCACAGTTTTAGAGGAATTTAAGGCAGCAGTGCAGTCTTTTGGCTTACCATCCCGTGTTCGTTGTGATAAAGGTGGGGAGAATGTGGCTGTTGCAAAGTATATGCTGGAGAAACGTGGTGTAAATAGAGGTAGTGTGATCGTTGGAAAATCTGTTCATAATCAGCGAATAGAGAGACTATGGAGAGATGTGTTTTGTGCTGTTATACAGCTTTATTATCGCTTGTTTTATACAATGGAAGATGAAGGAATACTTAATATTAACAATGAAGTTCATATGTTTGCACTGCATTTTGTATATGTCCCCAGAATTAATGAAGCAATAAAAGCATTTGTTTCTGGATGGAATCACCACTCTTTGAGCAGCTGTCATCAAAAGACACCATTTCAGCTTTATACTGAAGGAATGATTACACTGAGCCACGATGATATTCCTGCATTAGACTATACTGAGCCAGTAGATTGCGACATTTATGGCACTGAAGATGATTTAGATGCTGACTCATTAGACTCAGATGATAACTCTGTTGATGTCCCTGCAGTGAGCATTAGTCATGATATAGCCGCTTTGCAAGCATTAATTGATCCCTTACAAGAGTCTTCCAATTATGGAGTTGAACTATATTTGCAAACAGTTGAATATTTTAATACTACACACATTTAGGTTTTAATTACATGTACATCTTAAACTTTGTTCATGCTATTTCACAATTGTTTTTGCTCCTCTGTAATCTCTTCCTCTCTGGTTTTAAAAATTGTTATTAATTGAAGGTATTTTTGTATTATTTTAGACTGAAACAAAGCGTCAGTAATGGAAAAGTCAATGATATTATTGATAATGAAAGCAAAGGTTATGAAACCATGAGTTGATTACAAAAGTTCCCTTTTATTACTGATCCAATCACACAAATCATCAATCTGCTGTATTGGAATGTGACTGAATGTAGTCCCATATCGAATAGTAGTTTTGTAGGCAATTTTGTTCTCCCTGCAATATATCTTCAGCAACTCTCTCTCTGGAAACAAAACATCATCTTCAATGCAGACAGAATTGTCTTTATTATCTCTAAACGCAAAAAAACTGGACATTTCTTCCTCATTCATCACAAAGAAGTGGTCTGCTATACGTGGCACTGCATGCCCAGAGTCTTTTCGCCAAAGGGACCAGTGATATACATCAAGTGAAAGGTCTAAGAATGTTTCTCCTTTCTTAAGTCCACCAGGCAGCTAATAAAAAAGTATGTAACTAACAATAAATGAATCATAGAGCTTACAAATTCATGTGGATTGCTGTCACTCCTATCTGGTACGTGCCACAGTGATTCAGACTGAATCTGATGGATAAACAAATAATCTAGTTCCTTATCAACTAAAAAAGTAGAAATAAATACATGTTAATAATTAATATAGAGAGAGAAAGGAAGAGAAAGACAGTGAGATACATTATATGTAAAGAGAACAAAGGGAGACACACATAGTTACCAAGTTGTTTTATGTCATCATTTGTAGGCTTGACTATGGGGGCAACAACTGCAGCACGAGACGAAATCAAAAGTGGCCCATTTGCAATAAAATCTGTCACAGTTTCTCCATTAACAACAGGTAAGCGAGCTTCAAAAATATCGCCACTTTTAGTACTTGTCATTATATTAAAGCCAGCTACATTAAGACTTGGAAAAATACTAATAATCTTCTTCGTTAGAGATGCATTATCGTCATTAGGTGAAATGACACAGCTTTCAATATAGCCAGATTCCCTCAGAGAGTCCTTCTTCTTCCCTCTTGGCAGTGTTTTGGTACCATTAGGTAATAAAATCACAGTGGTTGGCTTCAAAGATTTAGACTTGCTAGCACCTCCTTTACGCAATGATGATTTCTGGCCAAATATTTTTTGCAGTGTGTTGTGTACAGACTCAGAAGATGAAATCTTTGATGCTATAGATGCTGCAGATACAGGGACTGATGACGATGAGCTGCTGCTACAACTAGTATACTCCTCATATATTTTACTCTTCTTTTTCTCGTAACCCTGAGGAGTTACGTCACCTAATTTCAAATATGGACTCAAGCAATGCAAAATTAATGGTCAGTTTTACCTTCTTTTAGATCATGGTCCAAGCATTCTAGCTCTACTCTCATCCTCTTAATTCTGTATCCCTTCTCTGTTAGAATACCTATGAGAGAAACATAACTCACTTTTGAACCTGTTATATATACAAACGACGAGTTATAAAACTGCATGACAAGTGCACTGAGCTAAGACCTCATTAGAAATTTAGTACGAATTACTTACCTTCCTTGTATTCATCTTCCACCTCCTGAAGGGATCTAGAAGCCATGTTTCCCACTCACAACACTAATGGAACAGGCTGAATAGCTGCTGTAAACGTTTAAAAATGGACACTGGGCAGACACAACTCACACAAACAGCGAACACGAGTCCTTCAAATAGCCACACCCTCGCGCATGCGCAGTTAATATTTTATTCGCCGTAATTACACCTCCGATATGCCTATGCCTATGCTTTTGTTGCTTTACACACGGCGCCCCATAATTATAGACTACGTAACCGGGATTGGAAACTGATGACGTCACGTGTACAGACTGTGTGATTATTAATGCATGAAATTGCATGAATTTGCATCAAAATGGTGAAAATCATGAAGAACTCTTATGTTTGATGAGCTGTATTAATTTTCTACTGTGATTTAGCTGGTTCTAAATAGCTTAATCGCATGAAGAAAACACCAGAGATCATGATGATGCCTCTCTCTTTGTGTTTCTACGCTTAGTTCGCTCGGGAGAGGTACAACAGATCGGCCGCTTTTTGGCGTTATTTTGGTGGATTTCTGCTCTCAGTGATATGGCAGGCAGAACTAACCAGTCTATTCTCATGTAGCATGGCCTTGTGCATAGTTTTAATCATAAAATGAAACTGGAGTTGCAGAAGCTTGTTTGTAGGAGGGAGAATAAGACATTATCTCTTGTCACGGGGAGCGCACTTGCTTTAAACACCTGCTTTTACAAAGCTAGCACATTTTATTTTTGTATCAAAGGATAATATAAACATGTGCGTATATTATAAGAGCCCAAGTACAGGTGAAATAGCTTGCGGGACTTCACTAGAGACCATTCTTTAGAGCCATGTCAAGCATTTTCGTCCGCCTCTCACTGTCACAGAGACTGTACCTGAATAATT